GCCGCGCTGCTCTCGGTGCTGGCCGCCGCCTCCTGCGTGTACCTGGGGCTGAGGACCAGCCAGCTCCAGGCCCGGGTCTCGGCCATCGAGAGCGCCCACGGGGGCTTCTCTGCCGCCGCCGCCGCCTCCCGCCTGCTGCCCGGCTGCTCCCTGGACCAGCTCCAGTCCGTGGTGCAAGAGAAAGTGGAGCGGCTCCTCGCTCAGGTGTGCAGGGGCGCGGGGAAGGGCTGGCTCCGGGCCGGGCCAGTGCCCCCCAAGGCTGGGTGCCAGGCGGGGCGGGCCGGGGGGGGGCGGGGCTGGCTCCGGGCCGGTCCAGTGCCCCCCACGGCTGCTTGCCAGGCGGGGCTGGCAGCGGGGTGCTGGGGAACCTCTTTCCTGGCCTTTCCAGGAAAGTTGAGTGACAGTTCCCTGAGTGGCAGAAGGGATTGGGAGGGAGAGAGATGCCTAGGAGACACGGATCCGAGGTGTTGCTTGTAGCCGTGTTGGATGTAGGCAGACAAGGCTCTTTGGGTAAGATGCCACATCTTTCATTAGATCAACTACATAGCCCTGCAAATAGGATGCCCGCCAAAGGGTTTGGGATCATCTGAAGCCCCAGATGGGGGTGGAGGCGGTAGCAGGGCCACTGATGATTCTGGACTGAGTCTCGGATTTGGAATTTGTTTTGGCAAATTTGGCTTGGAATATGGAAAATTTAACTTTAAAAAAAAAAAAGGCCAACTAAATAGTTGAAAAAATTGCTCTTTGCAAGCTTTCAGGCACAAACCACCTTCTTAAGGCATAGGGTTGAAGGGGTGTCTGTGCCCAAAAGCTTGCAAAGAACAAGCTTCCCAACTCTTTAGTTGGTCTAATAAAAGACATCACATCTACCCAAAGACCCTTGTCTGCTGAGGATCTGTGCATGTATTTAATATTGCACCCGCAGATTCTAGCCAAATCTATCTCTTGAACTGGTTATTACTATTGCTAATAGATGTATGGGTTTTTTTCTTTTTTTTTTGGTGGACATCAGATACAACCTGTACTAGAAAGGAACCGCTCGGATGTGGCTCTTTGAGTAGAGGTCTGGGTTTCCAAGGGTCTTATGGGGTGTCCAGAGTCCATCTGGCAGTAGCCGGAGCTCCATTGGCAACAATTGGCGCTATAACGTGATAGAGCAGTTGACCTTCAGGTCTGAACTGCTGATTGTCCTTGCACCTGGGACTTGCAGATCTGCCCAAACCCACATCCCTACATTGATTCTGTATGCTTGGGATGCTCGGTGGGGGTGTGGAGGTGTTTGGATGGGGATGTAACACAGCAGAGGGCCAGCAAAGTTGGGCGCAACTCAGTTGTCATGCTCTTTGATTGGGGGAGGGGGGCAGGGAACTGATACGGTCTGAATCTGATACAGTCTGAATCCCATCCAAGTCAACTGTTAGTTATGCTGTCTATCAAATCACTATAAATCACAGTTTAACATATGCCGATTTAGAAGCCTGGCTGTAGTAGCCTGAGTGAATGCTTACCAAGTTTGCTAATGTTGCTCCTTTCACCCACAGAAATCCTATGAGCATTTGGCAAAAATAAGAATAGCAAGAGAAGTGCCTCCAGAGTGCAACTGCCCACCAGGTAACCAGAAATAGCTCAGAAATCTTTCCTTGGTATCAGGGGATTTTGACACTTCTTTTTATCTGTCTGTCAAATGAACATGTAGCAACATCAAATATCACATGTAATGGGGGGGGGCAAAGGGACACTTCTTTTCACAAAGTGTGCCTTGGGTAGAATATTAGTCTTTCCCATTCTGGGGTCACATAGGATTTAGATTAAAATATTCATGACAGTAAGATAAGGCTGGGAAATGCATGACAAGTGGGAAGGTGCAAGTAAACCAGTGCCACAACTTTAACAAGGTGAAATATACAGTATTCTGATCTTTGATGGCATGGTATTCAGTTAGTGGTTCTGTTGGCGCTGTGTAGCTTATTGATATATGAAATAGCTTTAAACACAAATGACATATATTTAGGATCTAGTTGTTATATAATAAAAATGAGCTTTTTAGTTATCTGCCCCCCCCCCGATAAAATGGTCTTTTAGAAAACAGCTTTTTCTCATAATATATATTATTTATAGGAATATGGACACAGTCCTGAAGTTCTTACTCAGGCAGCAGTCCCAACAGCATTGTTGAACTTCAGGATTGGGCCCTGTGATACAGGGATCAGTTGCTTGTAGACCTGAATAATATATTCATCTGATTTTTTTTGTGTTACATGCTTTCTATATGTTTTGTTGTCTTCTGCTGTAGGTTTTAGATATTAGATTTAGATAACTGTTGATGATTTATTTTGTCTTAGACTTCTTTTGAGATTCTCTATCTCCTGTCTCTATTCCTTGGGCATTAGTAATATGATGCTTAATGATTCACAAGGTGCTGTAGCAAATCTAGCACACTTTATAATAGGGTACCATGGAAATATAGTATGCTCTATATGTCCTTCCATTTACAAAAATGTCTTCCCCTTAGAAAAGCTGAGATTGTTGACATGCATCAAGAGTAGGGATGATAATGAGTTAATATTTGACACACTATGTTTTTGAAAAACTATTTGCAGTAAGACATGCGACTATAAGGTAGGTATTTATGGAAGGAACTCTTCTAGTCAGAGGCTTAACTCATGACAGACTCATCTTGAAGGGATTATTGAACCACAGGAAAGAAAGTCCCTGTGACAATAATATATCTTTCTGATAATATAACTGATAGTAGAGTACCCTAGTAGTCTGTTTAGGAACCTTTATTGGTTCAATGAAATGGGCAATATTGTTTGTTGGAGCCAGAGTGTTTAACAGAATATAAAGAATTACTAAACTCTCAGTTTTGATGTGACGTGTTACATAATGTTAATAAAAAACGCAATGATTTTTATAACCGATAAATACATTTCTATTGCTCACCTACATTCTTATAGCTTAAATACATGAAGATGACTGAAGTCCAAGATGTAACATTAAAAGGTAGATTGCCCCCAGCATTACACCCACAGATCTAGTCTGTGATCCTGAAGCATCTATGAATTTGAATCCTTAGTTTTCTCTTTCAGAGTTTATTGTTCATATTAGTTTGCATTGATCTGGTCACAACAACCGTTCCGTTTTCAGGCTGAGAAACAGTCTCTGCCACGTTCCGTTTTCAGGCTGAGAAACAGTCTCTGTTTTTGTTGCAGCTGGTGTTACATGCTGTCTTACTTCTTTACTACCACTAGAGCTCCACATTATACCAATTTTTACTTGAACATACCTTATTTTGAAGCAATACTTTCCGTTATCTCGGATCCAGCAGATTACAAACAGTAGAATATTTGTCATGGGATTTGACAAATCCTCACTAGAACTCAGTCAAAATAATATTTAAAGCACATTTCAAGGTGTGCAAATTAGATCTATAAGAGTAGGAAAATTGAGATGAATAGTTGTCAAAAATTATTTTACAAAGAGGTATAACTGACCAGGGAATTGGATATGTGATATGGAGATTTTCACCTCTTGGTAACAATTTCAGTTTGGAGGCAGGTTTGTAGTGATTGAAAGTTATCACCATGTGACGGCTGCATTTTGGACTATTTAAAATGAGGTAGTTGTCTCATCCTCCCTCCCAATGGACAGGTGTCTACCTCAAAATGGCATTGTGTTGGCAGGCTCAGCAGAGCGAATGAGGTTTGATTGGCATGAAGACAAAATCACTAAGCCTGCTCTGAGAAGTAACCCTTTCTATTAGTGTTAGAGTAGAGTTGGAAAATGTGAGGGAATTTTGTACTCCTGTTGTCCATATTGTGCCTTTTTTAAAATATAGAATTAGCCCTTACTCCAGGCAACTGTTATAACTTTCACAACCAAATAATACTGTTATAATATTTGGCCAATTACTCTTTAACTAAATATGAAGGGGTTCTGTTTGTTTGGTTGTTTTGGTTTGTTTCTTTTTTTAAATATGGTTTCATTACAATTGTGAAGCCATTTCAGGAAACGTATAGCTTGACACAGGGGTTTCAACATGCAGCCCACGAAGTCCTATTCTGTGGCTGTGGTGCTGCTTACGGGTCTCAGAGTTGACCCACATGCTGCATGCGGTGCATGCTGGATTGGCCCTGTGCTGCATGGGCCCAGTCTGGGTGGCAAGTTGCACACAGTGCCAGGTTGCCTGCTGGATTCAGCATGTGGGGCCAGTATGTGGGCCCCATCTGGTCTGTGGTCCCTGCCCTGTGCCTTTTGCCCATGGGCTGGCCCCATGCCATTCATCTGGCCTGCAGGGGCATGTGAATTTGACACCCTGGCTTAACAGGTATGGAGTCATGGAAATTCCCGTGGCTTGCAGCCTGGGAAGCCAGTCCTGATTCAGAAGAGTAAATGACATCTTTACCACAGTGGCACAATTTACCTTTTGCTGTTGCACTCTGCTCCGTCAACTCCTTGTTAAGCCTGTCTAATATATATATGACCATTAGATCTGACTCCAGATGACCTTCAAAGTACATGTAGAGGAAGTTGTTGTGTAACACCAGTATTATGAGCACAAGGTAGTTGCCAAGATGAGTGGTCGTTCCTTAAGGAGATGATATTCAGAGCCCAAGGGGTGACAATCCCAACAAGAAGCAAAGGAGCCAAGTGCCCAAAAGCCCCCCTGGCTCACCAAGGGCATTCGTGAATGCCTGATTGCCAAGAAGGAGGCGTACACCCAGTGGAAGGGAGGTGCTATCACCAAAGAGGACTATACCTCCACCGCTTGGGTCTGTAGCGGGGCTGTTAGGAAAGCTAAGGCAGATATGGAACTAGGGCTAGCATCAAGGATCAAGGGTAACAAAGAGTCCTTTTTTAAATACATAGGGAGAATGAAGAAGGCCCTGAGTATTGTGGGGCCCCTGCAGGATATGCTTGGCAATCTGGTGGTCACGCCAGAGGAGAAAGAAGACCTCTTTAACAATTTCTTAACCTCTGTTTTCTTGTGCAGGGACCGGGACTCCCCTACTGAGATTCAGGACAGACTTGGGAGAAACTCTGCCAAGCCTAAGGTCAGGGAGGTCTGGGTTAGAGAACTTCTGGAGGGGCTGGATATGTTCAAATCAGCAGGTCCAGATGCTCTCCACCCCAGGGTGTTGAGGGAATTGGCAGGGGTTATTGCGGGGCCCCTGACATGGCTTTACGAGCACTTGTGGTGCTCTGGCCAGGTGCCGGACGAATGGAAGAGGTCCAATGTGGTCCTCATCTTTAAAAAAGGGAAAAGGAAGGACCCAGGCAACTATAGGCCTGTTAAGTCTCCTGGGGAAGCGCTTTGAGAAAATTATTCAGGTGCACATCTGCGAGGGGCAAGCAGGGGAATGTATGCTTGGGGGCAACCAACATGGGTTCATTAGAGGCAGGTCCTGTCAGACCAACCTGGTGGCCTTCTATGACCCAGTCACAAGATCCTTGGATGCAGGTGTCGTGGCGGACATAGTCTTTCTGGACTTTAGGAAGGCCTTTGACACTGTCTCTCACCCCATTCTCATTAGAAAATTAGGAGATTGTGGTGTTGATGCCTACACAGTCAGATGGGTCACCAATTGGCTGGAGAGCCGCACCCAGAGAGTGGTGGTGGACGGGTCATTTTTGACTTGGAGGGATGTGGGCAGTGGGGTCCCCCACGGTTCGGTCCTTGGGCCCACACTGTTCAACATCATCAGCGACTTGGATGAGGGGGTGAAAAGCACCTTGTTCAAATTCATGGATCACACTAAGATGTGAGGAGAGGTGGGCACAATAGAAGGGAGGGACACGCTACAACTAGACAGGTTACAGGGGTGGATGGATGGGAATAGGATGGAATTCAATACTGACAAGTGCAGGGTACTGTACCTGGGGAGAGAGAACCAGCAGCACACCTACAGGCTGGGGAACTCACTTCTCGTCAGCACAGAGGCAGAAAAAGATCTTGGAGTCATTATTGACTCCAAGATGAACATGGACTGCCAATGCAAGGACACAGTAAGGAAGGCTAACCGTACCTCGTTCTGCATCCACAGATGCATCACAGGCAGGGCCAAGGAGGTGATCTTCCCCCTCTATGCGACACTGGTCAGGCCGCAGCTGGAGTACTGCGTCCAGTTCTGGGTGCCGTACTTCAGGAGGGATGTGGACAGCATGGAGAGGGTCCAAAGGAGGACCACTCGCATGATCTGGGGACAGCGGGGCAGACCCTATGAGGAGAGGCTACGAGACCTGAACCTGTTTAGCCTTCACGAGAGAGAGCTGAGAGGGGACCTGGTGGCTGTCTATAAACTTACTAGTGGGGACCAGCAGGGTTTGGGAGAGACCTTGTTCCCCCGAGTGCCTCCTAAAGTAACAAGGAATAACGGCCATAAGTTACTAGAGAGTAGGTTTAGACTAGACGTTAGAAGGCACTACTTCACAGTTAGGGCGGCTAGGATCTGGAACCAACTTCCAAGGGAAGTGGTGATGGCTCCTACCTTGGGGTCTTTAAGAGGAGGCTCGATATTTACAACTGCATGGCGCATCAGCTGGGATCACTTGAGCCCAGTTTTCTCTCCTGCCCACGGCAGGGGGTCGGACTAGAAGATCTACAAGATCCC